AGAGGTATCAACGTATACTGAATCTAAGCATTTACCAAATTTATTCGGAATCAAATTAATTTGATTCGGACCCAACTCGGACATTTTTTCGAAAAACTCATTAAAACATGACCGATTGCAAATCGGCACGATATAGTCATCGAAAGGTTTCCACGAAGCACACGGTAAATTGAAATCACCTAATACAATTAGTGAATCTGCATTATTTGTTCCATGTTTCATAAAGATATCATAATTTTTACTCAAGTTACAGCTTGCACAGACGGACGCAGACAGTCACCCGGATTTCAACTCGTCTCTTTATCCTGATAATTTATATATTGTATATATAACTATATATCTAATTCGATTACAAGTATACTCTGTAGCAACAAGTTGCGAGAGTATTAAAAAGAAATAGATGTAATTAAAAAAGGAGCAATATTACAAGTAGTGTCTGGAAATAATACAGTTGATGGCTATGCCATAAATAAAGTTTACCTTGTTACTTTTGAAAATTATACAAGTATTAACAATGTAATATATGAAAATGTCGATTGCAAAATTTGGAAATATTTAAACAATCATCATATTAATATTTTTGAAATTACAGAACATATAAAGAAATGAAAAAATAAAGAAATGAAACTTGAAAACATAAATATTTTAGCCGAGCGAATGAATGTTTTTAAACATTTCATTCATTTTTATGGTACATAATTGCAATTTTGTTAATAATGTACATAATTTATTGGAATGTAAAATTTAAAAAATCTTGTAGAACTTCCAAAATAAATAAAAATTTAGAATTTCAAAAAATATCATATAAATCATATATTTTGGATAAAATAAACAACCTATCGAAAAATGCTATGAATCGGGGACGATTCATCTTAGAGAGAGGGGAGTTAACGGCAGCCTCCAAACAGTAGCTAATTATAAACAAAACCAGGATCTTTGCACTTAGCAATTATATAGCCTCTTAATAGGCATATTTGCATATTTCAGTAACTGATATGATTTTTCGTTTAGCTCAGACCACCCACAAAATGTAAACAATAGTATATATAAAACCAATTACTGAATAAGTTTATATTGTAAGTGATACTCTCTTTATTTTAAGAATTACTCATTATTGTGAAATAGCTTTAAGCAACTAAGAAAAATTTATAAATAAGAGTAAAGTGAAATAAAGAACTCAGTTATCCATCATGACAACTCAAACAAAGCGGAGAAACTATCTATTTTTCATACTTCTCAAGATTGATATTTATGCTGAAAATGTTAAAGCATATAAACTGCATATAAACGAAATTGATATCCGATGCATTCAGTGCGAATATTGCAGAGGATGACTCAAAAAATCAACATCAGCAGAGGTTTAATCAAACCAGTTTTTAAAATATTTTCTGCTTCTACGCATATGGACAATATTTAAAAATTATGTACAATATATTGAATTTTGATGCGATAAAGATGAAGAAAAAGTACTGCTACGATAAAACATCCGACTGAACGGACTGTGTTCAAGTAGCATTTTGTTATGTTTAATTAAATAATCATGTAAATATCTGATATATATATTACAACATAGATTAATGTCTCGTTGGAAGCAGTCTATATTTTGGGACTGCGATTGTAAAATGACGACGACTATCTTGAAAAAAATATTGACCAAAACAAAGCGATGTGGATACACTGTAGTTGGAGTCTGTGATTTATGTAGTACCAACAGATCACTTTTTGCGAAGCTGAACATGAAAGAGGACAAACCTAGGTAAGTAGCATTTAATTTGATGATATGTTCCATCATAACTTACATCTTTATATTCATTATTATTATTCGTTTTTGCAGATGCTCTCCATTTAATAAAACTCCTTCGAAATCATTTTTTGATAAAGGATTTTTATTAGATGGGAAGCCTGTTAAAAATGTTATTATTTTGGAGTTTCTATCATGTACGTCGGCAGATTTATCCATTACGCATAAAATCTCTACCAATTACTGAAATATCACCGGGACTCAAAGTCAAATTGTCAAAATGGCCACAAAACTTGTTTCTCATACTGTGGCACAGGCTATAACGAGAGCAGCAAGCTTGGAGTACTTGAATGGAAAGAATTGGGAAGAATGCCATAAACTCTTCAAGCTGGTACGGTATTACATTAAATACATAAATAAATATATTTATTGTAACAATAACCTTTTCAGGTTAACGATTGGTTCGACGTCATGAATGTAAGAGTACCACGTTTAGATTCCAGAGAGCGTTGTCATGCCTATGGACTCGCTATTGCTGTACAAAGTTCAAATATTGACGAAACGATGGAAATGATAACAAATTAAAGAGTCATTGGGAAAAACAGTTTGCCATTTCAAAGCGGTAAATCTATCATTCTTGATAAGAACTATTAGTAATATACATATATATGTATACATATATTTGTGTACAATAAAAAGAACTTCTTCTTCATTTCAACCATCCACTTAATAGGCAATTATAATATCATTAGATCAAAATATTTACTTAAAAATTATGAAAATCTTTTCACGCAACACTATTCTATTAATTTCACTACAATTTTTAACCAAAAACTAATTGAGTTTATTTCACAAATTAAAAAGTGTTTAATTTTTTGTTTACAATTTACAGGCTATGTGAGTTTTTCTTCTTCTCAACTCGCTAGAATTACGTCACAACATAGCGGCGGGCTGGTAATCTTGTATTCTATCATTTTGGTGGATGCGTCATACAACTTAACCATGGCGCGTTAAACATTTAACTCAACCTTTTCCGAACTCCATTAGAAGTTTTACTTTAAAACGCTGTTCGTTAAAAGATCAGACGTTTCGCATTTGTACATACATTCGTATCTTATTAAAAGAAAAAGACGCATAATATTTTTAAATTTGTGAAATTTATTCAGTTTTTGACTTTTAGCTTATGCTATCGTCGCAAAAAGTCGCTTGGCACATGATAGGGTAGATGTGTAAGGTGTTTGCATTTATGAATGAAAGGACTGAGCTTTTTGCATTTGCGCCTGAGTTCATGAATGAAAATGTTGCTGTTGTGTGATTTACTACAAATTTAGGCTTCGTAAATTTGACTGCCATATTGATTCCTGATGCATTTTGAGACAATTGTTGTTTTTCTACAACAATGTTTGTATTTTTTGCTATTGTCTGACATACTTACATGTGTACGCCTACACATAGATATGTATGTATGTAGGTTAGGTCTACGCATAGAGCAGTGTGCGCACATGTATTTATTGATAAGTAATAATATCATGATATGAATATGTACATTTATATGCATATTTATATGCATACACAAATAAAAGCGTATGTAATTATATACATGCATATATAAGCTTATGTATTTATATTGTATGTAGTTATCTAGTTATATAGCACAACCGTAAATTCATTCTTATTTATATTTTCTAAGGTCTATGATTGTACATATGAACGCACAAACCTCAATATAAAGTTTTTAAATGATAAATAAACAATTACTAAAATAATAAATATTGTCATAACATTGCCATCAAATTTGGCGACGGTTTATTTAAATAAATGGTTTAAAATATTTGTTAAGTCATAATTTAGTACATATTTACTTAAAATTAAAAAAAAAATTTTCATTCACATAGCATATTTTTCATTCTCTGGTTCCCTCATCAAAATTTCGTGATTAAGAATTCACTCAGGGCAAATCTTTTTAGCACCTCTACCGAAAATATGTGATAGTGGGCGGGGTACTCCCTATATAACGGGTTTGATTAAAACTACTAAAAGTGCGATAACTCATAAAATAAACAAGTCAGAGACTTTAAATTTTACACTTAGAATAGTACAATAATGCATTTTTGGAGTCAATACGACAAAATTGGACAGTGGGCGTGGCACCGCCCAGCTTAAGGGCCCCCCATATCGCGGGATCTACTTGACGATTCGGAGAGAATTATTTCCTGGTGAAACGGGTCAATACTCCCTTTGACCCTTCCGACTGAGTTTGCACCGCATGTATCTAAAATGGATAAAATCGGATGAAAACTTGCCCAAGTCCCCATATGACTATTATCAGGATTTTCAAACATCCGGTTTAATTTACTCCTTATGGTATATTGTGGACAGTATGTGATATACATGAATGAAACTTTGAGAGCATGTTTGCCGTTAGCAATGTGTAGTAATGCCACAAATAGATAAAATCGGGTCGATACTACCCGTATATCCCATATAGCTAATATGAGATTTTCAACTTCCGGTTGATTTATTCCGCGTAACATATATCGATCAATAAGTACGATAATGTAAGTAAACTTAAGTGAACGTATAATATTGGTTATACTATAGTCTAATGCCGAAAAAATATTAATTTAGTATGCAAACGTATTTTTACAAACCTTATGCCAAAGATGTCGGTCAATAAGTGAGTTATTTAATTATAAAATTGCTTGAAATTTTGTTCCCGCGAATACCTTAACAATATTAAAGGTTAATGCAAGCTTAGATCTTTCTCAGCCCAAAATATAGTGATTTCCAAATTTAGCCTCTTAGGTTGAGATTATATCACATAATTACGTATGTATATGCTATTTGAAAATTATTTCAATATTTTTACCTGATGTGAATAGAACTAAGTGAATCTATCACCTATAAATTAACTTAACAAAATACAAATTTTTATTGTAATTTATTCACGATTTCGCTAAAAAATAAATGTAGAACTCTTTCGCAAAATTGTTTTATGTAAAGTTTTGCCAACACCTCAAGGCTATTCCCCGGTTGTGATCTTTCCACGTTGCACGACTATGAAATGTTCGGTTTCACTCGAACTTATCCACTCTTACTTGTTTCAAAAATATGTAATTGTTTTGAAGTATTAAATTATTTAGTTGTATTGAGGTTTAAAAGTTAATTTGAAAATGATTTGTGATATATTAAGGCCTAATATAGGACATCTCGATAGTAAAACAAAGTTTAATTACAAGTATATATATGTAGTATACTCATCTGTGGAATGGTGGGTCGGTAATGGCTTGTACCATATATCGGCTAAAGGGACAACCTCCATTTTATACAAGGTATTATGGATCGTTTCCAATATCTTGACATTTTAAAGAAAAATGTAGAGCAGTCATGTGTCACTTTGGGAATTATATACAATTTTATATTTTAGCAAGACAACGATCCGAAGCACAAATCAGAGAATGCTCGTAATTGGATTTTATGCAATTATCCTCATGTATTTAATTTACCTGCCCAATCCCCAGATCTAAACTTTACTGAGAACGAATGGCAATTCGACTGACTTCAAAACTGTACCAAAGGCAGTATTTCAATGCTGTTAAACTCAAAACGGCTATTTTGGGTCCTTGATCGCAATACCACCGGAATTTTTGTCAAACCGACTAGAAGCCGTTTATTTGAAAAAGGATAAGCAGCAAAATTAGTAATCATTAGCTTTTTCAAACCCCGATTAGTTGTATGGAGCGAATTTGGTATTGTTTAAAGGAGTTTAAACTCCCTCCTCCAAACACATCACACTTGTGACCACTCAAGGAATTTCATCCCACACGACGACACCACCACACTCAACCTCTGAGAACAACATGCACGAAGACACCTATCAAAAAGGACGTGATCATCGCTAAATCTACATACGCCTATTGGACAGCTGTTACAGCGATCCTACACATTCGACCTACACATACACGTCAGTCAACACGGTTCCTGCTTGCTGCCTTTATTCGTTTTCGTTATACGAACCTGCGCGCTACCGTATTTAATTCATTATATAAACCTTTTCGATTACGACGGCGATCCGACACGTCACTTTGTTTCATCCGGATACTGATTCGTCCCGTTGACTTCCAAATATCATTATAAAATGTAAAATAACAAGAATAACCTTTAACTATAAATTCAAATTAACAAGTAACAAGTGCATTTTTTCTTGCTATATTAAGTTCAGTAGTGAGTGCAATACTAAAATACAATTAAAATGGAACATCGGATTTCTCTCCCCTTTATTCATGGTCCTTCGAACCTTACCGAAAGGCACCTTCGGAATTTTATAAAAAAATTAATTTATTAAGAACAAGTAAGGAAAAGTTCGGATGTAACCGAACATTTTATACTCTCGCAAAGTCAAATGGTATACTCGTTTTAGATTTCTTTGTGGATCTTACCGCCTTGTTCTATGTTGACCGATATTTTCGGTAAAAAGTCAGATATAGGCACTAGGGTCCACATATTCATTACCTAGGGGCTTGAACAGTTTTGACTCGATTTAGAAAATTTTTGGTCACAAGGTGGCATACTTCAAACGCATTATTCACGCAAAGTTTTACCCCGATACAATCATTTTTGCTATGCATTGTGGAAAGTGAAAGATTCAGATGGAATTGAAAATGGTGTTATATGGGAAATAGGCGTGATTGTAGTCCATTTTTGCACTATGACATAGAAATATGAAAAAAACGTTATGCACCGAATTTAGTTGAAATCGGTTAAGCAGATCTCAAGATATGGGTTTTCACCTAAAAGTGGGTGGTGCAACGCCCACCGTCTAATTTTGAACGCGGTTCCTATATAGTCATCTCATACCATCCCAGAGATAAAGTTTAATGTCTCTGGCGTGTTTAGTGCTTGATTTATCGCACTTTTAGTAGTTTTTAACAGTACCGTTATATGGGGAGTGGGCGGAGTTGCCACCCGATTTCGACTATTTTCACACCGTAGGTAGAGGTTCTAAAAGCATTTGCTTCCAGTGAATTTTGTTATTATAGCATTAGTGGTTTAGGAGATATGCACATTAAACCTATTAGAGGCGGGACCACGCCCACTTTTAAAAAAACTTTTTTAACTACAGATGCCCCTCCCCAATGTGATCCTGCGTACCAAATAACAGTCTTGTATCTTATTCTGGAGCTTAGTTATGGCAATTTATTTGTTTTTGATTAATGGCGTTTTGTGGGCGTGGCAGTGGTCCTATTACGCCCATCTGTAATACCAACCGTCTTACGGTACCGAAAAACATGTGTACCACATTTCAAAAATATATCTCAATTTTTACTCAAGTTACAGCTTGCACAGACGGACGGACGGAGAGACAGTCACCCGGATTTTAGCTCGTCTCTTCATCCTGATCATTTATATATGTATACATAACCCTATATCTAACTCGATTAGTTTTAGGTGATATACCTAACAACCGTTAGGTGAACAAAACTATTATACTCTGTAGCAACATGTTGCGAGAGTATAAAAATAATACATATATAATATTAACAAGTAAGGAAGGGCTAAGTTCGGATGTGACTGAACATTTTATACTCTCGCAAAGTTAAATCGTATATTCGTTTGAGACTTCTTTATATATTTTAATAATTAGAAGTAGGAACTGTTGCCTTAGTTATTTACTTTTCACTCACAGTGAAAATAATTAGAGCAATTTGTAAACTAAATTTACTCAAATTATGAGAAATCGTTCTTGTGCTTTTTGTATACGCTTATAATTGATTTTATATAGAATGCATTACAACTGTATTAATTTGTATATAATATTTACAATATTAAACATAAATTTTTGTAGAGATTCTTATACATATATCCAAATTATATTTCTTTTTTCCTAATACTATATAATTTCTATCATATATTTATACAATAATGTCATATATTATATAATAACAAATTATGTATATAATTTAAATTTTCTTAATTAGATTATTTACATATTTTTCTTAAAAGTGTCTGAAAAACTACTGTCAAAATTCCTATACCATTCCAATTCGATTATATTTGAAAAAAAAAATGAGGAACTATTGCACTAAGTCTGAAAACTTTAGTTCGAAATAGAGACACAAATACTGTCATGATAGCTGTGTACTGTCTC